TTCTTCAATATGATTTTCAAGGTCCTCACGGTCCCACAAAGTCATTCCTGAAAAAGAAGAAGCAAAAATCAAGCTCCCACAACCAGAAACTACAAACTGACCTTATAGTCTAGTCGTCAGCAGTTTTATGATAGACATGTATAGTAGGGTCTCCAGCACATAGAAACGTCCGGATGCTAACTTGCATATGTTGGGATATTTGTAAAATTAGCATAAATGGTGTCCTTTGAAATTAATGGGATTATAGTTTATGCAGACAATTGTAAAAGAAAATTACTTGGCGGATTAGAACAATTTGGGCTTTGGGGGTTATTAAATACATTATTAAATTATTACATTATTGATGACTATGTTTGTCTTTACACATTACACATACACACATACATCTTTGTGTTCCAACCTTTTCATATTTAATTACAACATTCATTGTATATATACATTTTAACCTTTTGATTTGAAAAAAGCCAACATTATGCCTTCTGTTACAGGAAAGCCAAAGAAAACGTATCCATATAACATCTTAAAAGCATTATTTCATGATATATCATTGTTTATACTTTTTTCTAGTAAAAGCAAAAGCTATCAAAGAACAAATTAGTTTACATCACATTACTATAGTTCAGAATTTTAACATCTTGGTTGTTGACGATCTGTCACCCTGTTAGTATTTAATTGTAACTCACCACTGAAATAACTGATATTACTGTAAAACATTCATAGCAAGAAAAAATTCCATTTCTCTTTCACAAGCTTCTGTCTGCCTTGCTAACCTCTTCCCATCCTCTTTGATTTTTTTTAATTGTTCGTGATACTTTTTCGCTATTCTCTTTTCCTGTTCCTCTTCCCGTTTGCGTATTTTCTCTTCATTCTCTTTAAGGATTCGTTGTTTTTCCTCTTCTAGCTCCCTCTCTGCCTTCTGGAACATTTCATTGGTGTAATGGCTTCCTCCGTTCTTCTCTGTTATATATCTGATCTTGTCGAGCAGCTCTCTGACCTGAGAACGATCCTTCTCCTTATTATTGAAGACGTGGTACTGGCCGTCACATCTGTCCACAAGTTCCTGCAGATCTTCGCTTTCGTTTAAGAACTCTTCAATAGGTTCGTCTTCGAGCAGATCACCGTGGGTAAAAAGGACCATGCTGTATTTGTTCGCTTCCTCTCCAAAGATTTCCTGAATCTTCTGCACTGTCTGTTTTTCTTCCTCTGTGAATCTGCCCAATCTGATGACGACCAGGAAGACATGAGGTCCAGGAGAAGCATAATAAATGCTCTGCGCAACGTTCTTTCTGGTCTCCTCTTCTTCAACCTTGGTGTCAAACAACCCCCGGGTGTCAATGACAGCAACTGTTTGTGCATCAACTTCACCAAAGACCTTCGCACAGTGTACAGTCAAGGATTTAGCAGAGAAGTTTGATTTAAAGGACTTTTTTCCCAGAATGGTGTTCCCTGTGGCGCTCTTCCCAGCTCCGGTCTTCCCCACCATCACAATCCGGAATACCTCGTTATTGTACGTGTTCGATTCCGATCGGTGGGCTGAAAAAAAATGAAGAAATATTTAGCAATCTCTGTATTTATAAAATGGTTCAACTACCACATGAGCAATGTTGACAGTGAGAGGGGTGGGCTCAAGATGGTTTAATAATCTAGAATATGTGTAGAAGCTATCATTCAATTGATGTTTTTCATTAGTTTTATGTGCCTTGTATTCATTCTTATGTGTGCCTTTTATCTATTCTTATGTGTGCCTTTTATCTATTCTTGTAATATTATATTTTGTTATAATGTTATGTTCTTTGTGTACCCCACTGCAGTCAGGATGTCGTTGTGTCCCTGGGCAAGACACTTCACCCCAAATTGCCTACACCTGGGACAGTTAATTTTGTATTATTGTGATTATATATATGCCACTGTTATTAATACTGACACCTAACTTTGCACTAAGGTGTGTCTGCTGCTGAGCCTACCTATTGTTATTATATATATTGCCACTGTTATTATATTGTTTTGATACTACTGACACTTATTGATCTGCTGCTGATAAATAAAAGAGAACCTACATGCACGGCACTAGCATCATGACTGTCTTTGTTTAAACCAGCAGCAGTGCAGCGGTACACAGACTAACCTGTGTGTGTGTAACGTAGTTCTTCAGGTGTGTATGCTTAACATGTATGTATTTATCACAGTAAAGATGGCATACAAAAGCTTTTTAAAGAGCTTTCAACCTCATCCCATTGTCTTTAACACACATTTAACATAATAATATACTCATATTAATATACAAATATACAGTATGAGTACTGTTTTGATACTGACATTTAATCTTTGCACTAAGGTGTATCTGCACTATTGTAATTGTGTCTGTTGACTGTGGTAAATAAAAGAGAGAACCAAATGCACTGTACAAAAGATCAGCTTTATTGTCAATTTACAATTTCTATGCTGTTCAGATGCCTCATAAGGGCTGTGCGCGTGTCTTGCCCTGCGGCGATTTTTTTAGGTTGCGTCTCCCCAACGTTGCTTCCAGGCGAATACAGAGGAGTTGAAAAGAGCCCTTGGATATTCTGAAATCTTTGATCCACTGCACATTGGTGTACGTTGGCACCACCTCCCACCAGGCCGATGTTCTATTGTTCACCCAGAGAGAGCGCAGGACACAACGCGTTCCGTAGTATTCGCATATCTGGAACACATACAAAGACACAAATTAGCCCTACATAACTCCATAAATCCTACATTAGATAGTATTAATGTGATTTAATGAACGTACCATTGCTGTTCTTTGGGCGTGATAACGGCCATCATCCTCAGCTGTCCTACGGCGAAACATGTCCATAGCGTGTGCTTTTCGTCGTCCAATCCTTTTGTTAAGGCTTCTTAACCGCCTTCGCCTCCGACTCAGCCTTTCTATTGCATTTGAATGGTCGATTTGTATTTGTATTTGTGGCTGAGTTATTGGCTTAAATAACTCATTTACGAAGCTGTATAACACGAGCACCAAAACGTCAACTCCATACCGTGTCTGAGGTCGGAAGGTAAACAGAAGCATACAGCGGAAGCGGACGTTTTTTTTCTTCTTCTTCTCTCGGTTTTTTGGCGAATTGCAACTTTAAGGTGCATACCGCCACCTACTGTACTCGCCGTGAAGTTGTTTGCGGCCTGCCAGTAAACCCAAAGCAGAAGAAGAAGAAGTGACGTCAGCGGCTCATTTGCCTAATCCACCCCCAGGAACTCATTTTGGTGTGAACGCGATCTGCTTTAGTTCATCAGAACTAAAAGAGCTCTCATGAACTAAAGTTCTCATGAACTATTGTGGGAAAAGTACTTGGTGTGAACGCCCCTATTGGCACCATAAAAAGCATTTATTAGTGAATGGCAGGCTTGGTGATAAAGGCAGTGGGTCTGTCAATGTCAAGTGATGCACCTTGAAGGGACCTTAAAAAAACATTGAATGCAGTGGTTCATAACCTAGGGGGCGCGCCCCTGAAATGAAATGAAGCAGTAGTGGCCTCTAGCTATACATTTATTTTAATAAGAAAACATGTTTGCCATAGAGTCCCTATGACATGTTTAGTTTCTATCTTTCCTACTTTGACAAATTACACAATTTTGGGCCTAAAAAAACTTTTAAGGCAATGGTTTCCAACCTGGGGAGGTGCAGCGCTATTGCATGTTATGTTGCTCGTAACATCAATGAAATTGACACATTTTTAACACAACCGGCTGTTAAAAGAAAAGTGTACGAGCCCACGACAAGCCTTTCAGCTATAATGCCCAAATCAACAAAGTATAATGAGGCATACAACTCCCTGGACATTTAACGTTCTCTCTCTCTCTCCATCTCTCTCTCTCTCTCTCTCTCTCTCTCCTCTCTCTCTCTCTCTCTCTCTCTCTCTCTCTCTCTCTCTCTCTCTCTCTTTCTCTCTCTCTCTCAGACAATGAAGGCAGGTTATATTGATATATTGATTATATTCAAAGGCAAATTAATACTTAGTCCTCTGAATCTGGAATAATGTACAATTCACAGCACAGCCTCACAATGTCAGGAACTTTTCATCTACAGATTGCTTTGGTCTGGCTTTACTCTTCACTGATTGGTTACAGACACTTAGAACTTGGTGGCTATGCAAATCAGAAGGAGGGGCTAATTATCATATACAAAAACGCACAAATATTTGCGTATTTGGGGCGAAATAAACTGGTGAATAGTGGCACACTTGGCTTTCCATACTCTGCAGCGGCATGCACACAGAGATCTGCCGGTGGAGAACAGAGCGTTCAAAAGGGAAAATCTACAAGGCTCGATGTGGTCAATGCTCGTTTGCCATAAGTATTTTCTTGTAAAGGCGGAAACACGAGCAATCTGTCCATCAGCTGGCCAAAAGGCATCATATTCATACAGAGTAATGCACCGTTGTCGACTTCCTTAACTCGGAGTTATGTTGCCCCAATTACGTGTAAGGTGGGAGAAGTACTCAGATCAAGTACTTAAGTAAAAGTGGTATACTGCAGGGTAGCTTGTGAATTTACTCCAGGTGTGACTAAAGTCTGATTTAAGAGATTTCACATCATTCATCCACATCTGTAAAGTAACTAAGGGTATTGGAGTAAAGGTACACAATTTAGCTCTGGACTGTAGTGGAGAAGAATTACAAATAAGCAAGAGTGGAAATACTTAAGTACCTCAAAATAACTACAGTACTTGAGTAAATCTACTTAGTTACTACCACCACTGCAGGTATGTTATGTGTGCTAGCAGCCCATAATCCACACTATACATCAAATAAATCAATGTTAATTCTGTTTCCAATTTGTTTTGTTTTTCACTTAAAAAAAATAACAAAAAGAACCTTGTGCTTGGAATTTAAGAAATAAGTATTTTTTATTGGACTGTTTTGATCAGTTAATTATTAGGAAATATGACACGCTACATATCCAATCTATAAATATGTATTTAGATAAGTTGCAATCATTATTAACAATAAAGTTTATTCACTTACCATTTTGGGCAAATTTGCTGGCCATAGTTGGTGATGGAGGGAGGAGCTGGTCTGCTGCTGAGCTGAAGAAGTGAAGTTAGTCTGCAACAACACCTCCTTAAACACAGACTTCATGCAGCAAACCACACCCACACACACTGCTGACATCACAGTCTGAAGTTCAGCTACAGTGGGATGATGTATAGATTAAAAAGCATAAAATCCTTCCCTTAATAAACAGAACAAGGGGAAATACAGCCTCATGTGTTCAGATTTGTTTGAATTGAACAGACTACATATTTTAGATATAAGTCCTCAATGCTCTTTACATATCAACATTCACCCATTCACACACATTCATACAGAGGCAGAGGCTGCCATGCAAGGTGCTCAGGGAGACTAACATTCACACACACTCACACACGTTGGCCATACCAATTTGTGGTTAAGTATCTTGCCCAAGGTCACATGGACATGTAGAGCTACATTTTATTTACAGTTTGACTGCACCTCCAGCAGTCTGCAGCTCTCAAAGTGTTTTAAAAGAAACATGTACAGTTGGCTTCAGCATTTGGCATAATAGTGATTTAATCTAATCTGGTTTCCTATTATTAAAAGCAACACACGAATCAACCCAACGCAGTCCGCTATTGTTGTGGTTGTGAGCGGCTGGGAACACAACTGGGACTAAAAAGGAGAACCAGTTCAGAACCAGAAAAGCACGGAGCTAGAACCGAACTGGTTTGGTGGGAAGGGGCATGTAAGTGTTTAAACGGCCATTTATTTCCCCGTTAGGTTTTCACGTTCATGTGATATGATTTTATTCAACCTCTTATTCAGGGTCTCAAATGATTGATACCCTTACATTACCCATTAGAATGTATTTTACTTTCACTTTTAGATAACTGCCCTCAGTAAACCCTGCTCCCCCCTCCCTTCAGCATTTACAAGAAATGCCCCCTGTTCTTCTAAATCCCACAAAAACCTGCAGACTGCAGTCAACACTTGGGATTGCAGCTCTCAGTCTCTGTTCATGACAGAATGCAATATTAAGCTGCACTCACAAGCTTGTAAACTTTCCAAACCTTCAGCAGGGCTTTGAAATAAACAAGTTGTTCTTCACTTCCTTTGGAATGTACACCGTTGAATCCTCATACAAATTTCCCCCATTCCCACAATGGTGTTTCAAGTGGAGCTCTTCCCAGCTTCAGTCTTCCCCTCCATCACAACCCTGAGCACCTCATCATTGTATTTGATATCAGAAATGTCAATGCACAAATGGGATTTATGTTAAGACACGGAGACACAGTCCAGATGAATGCAATTTTAGATGCTACTTTTATTGACACTGTATAGTTTTACTCCAGCTCCTTCAGCAGCTGCTGTGTGGGACTGATCCACACTGTTACAGCAGCCTGAACTTTGTCAAAGTGTTTTCAAAAGAAACATTGACTGGCTGATTCAGCATACAACATAATAGTGACACTGACCATGTTCATTGATTTACTTCCTTTTCTTTCCCCTGTAGGCTTTCACGTTCATGTGATATGATTTTATTCAACCTCTTATTCAGGGACTGAAATGATTGACACCATTAATGTCCCGAATGTATTTTCCTTTCACTTTTAGATAACTGCCCTCAGTAAACCCTGCTCCCCCCTCCCTTCAGCATTTACAATAAATGCCCCCTGTTCTTCTAAATGCCAAACAAAACTGCACATACAGAGTGAAGCCAGGCCTTTGAATTGCAGCTCGAAGTCCCTGTTGATCAGCATCTCCTTATTTGAGGCCCTGATACTCCCAGGGAGTGAGTCATAACCCCAAGTGAAGGAGATCAAGTATCTGTGGGTCTTGTTCTCAGCTGAGCCAGAAGGTAAATCTCTCAATCAACCTTTTCATCCTTATTCCTTCCCTCACCTATGGTCATTAAGGTTGTCCCGGTCGGAGCCAGGTCACCCTTGAGCAAGGCACCGAACCCACATCTACTCCTGGGCGCAGGACGACTGGCAGCCTCTTCCCTCTGCCACCTCTCCACTACTGCATGTGGTCCTGTTTGTGTATGTGATCATATCAACTATGTTTGTATAACGTACAAATAAAACCAGAATGAAACAAGTAATTTCCCCTTGGGGATTAATAAAATATCTCTTCTTCATGACTGGAATAACGAGATTGTGGATACAGGCGGACGAATGGTGGGGAGATGGAGGGATAATCTCGAGCGCCTTGAAATCACCCTGTCAGAGCTGGTTTGTGAAGTATTGAGAGAACAATGTCGTATATTTTTCACTCATTCTACTGGTTTATTGTTAAAAACTGCAGCAGTTTATCAAATGACAAAGGCATGCATATTTTGCAAAGGATCACTGATGACTGAGATGTCGTATGTGAGTTGAAATGTGTGAGCTAATTTAGGCCACCATGAATGGCTACTAAAAGATCTCATATCCCAAGCTTATCAACAAGCTAATGTTGCAGCTGAAATGTTCTCCAGGTCACAAAGTCAACCTCACATGATGATGTGATACCAGTTTTCAAGCACAGTAAAAATTCTCTTCCCAGAGTATATGATGGGACCAAGGTGATGATGTACATGGTTTTAATAATACTTTTGCTTTTCAATGTTTGCCATGTCAAACCATGAGCTGGTTCAAATAATATTTGCCTTGATTTACAATATGTTCTCATTTGTTTAATCAGTACATTTTTGAAGCTTTTGTGCTTTTCCTTGCCAAATATTTCATCCAGTCCACTTTGGCCTGGATGAAATATTTCAGGATTGCACTTTTACCACACTTGAAATGTTCTCACTTGCATGGTTTCAAAACATAACTAATGCCATAATCTGTTCATTGGGGACCATAACATCAATGCTATTTTTCATTGCTGTTGCCGGACACTATTGCTCATGTAAACCTACTACTGTTGCACCCCCTGTAATCTCAGATGCACCCCAAGTCATTTTGTTCTGGAACCGGGCCTGTACATGGCCATATACTAAACAAAATACAGAGCCCATTCCGTGTCCTGTTATTGTTTACTTCCTCTCTGCCTTCTTCTGGTGATTTATCTGACGTCCAGCGCTCCGTCTTTTAACCTCTTTTCCTTTCTCTTTCTTGATCCTCCTTAGCAACCTTCATTATAGTCCTTGGCAGTGGTCTGTACTGTATTAACAACGTGTCACATGTTAAGAATTTACAATTAGAATCGAGTATTCAACTAAGCCGTGTAATACAAGTTGTTAGTAGCCTTAATGGCCTACACAGTTGTTATGCTATACCACATTGCCCTTCACTGGATGTATAATGAGCTGCACTAAACTACATTTTAGCATTTAAAATACCTAGCAATTTTTTTGCGGTTATTTTGGTGAAAGTAACTCAAAAGTAATATAAAAGTAGTGTAACTCATTACATTTCAGAGACAGTAATATTGTAATGTAACTTATTACTTTAAAAAGACAGTAATAAGTAATATGTAATATATTACATTTTGGAAGTAACTTGCCCAACACTGCTGATGACTGAGATGTCGTATGTGAGTTAAAATGTGTTACCTAATTTAGGCCAGGTGCTGTGAAACAGAGAAAGATCAACTTTGATTTAAAACCTTGAAATACAGCACCCCCATGTGGCTGGTAAACAGTGGTTGAAGAAGAAAGGGAAAATAATATTCTAAGGTCTACATTTATCATTTTTATTCAAGAAATATTACAATACCATTATCAGTACATGAAGTACCACACATTATCCCATTAGGTGACATAAGACCCCATCTGAGTGTTATATTTTGTTTTTTTTATTGTGTGCTAGTAGTATAAGTAGTAGTATTAGTAGAAATAGCATTGTAATGCTGCCAATGATTTACATTGTAAAGATTTAAATTCTGCCCCCAAAGAAAAGGCAAGTCCCCGCAAGTGACTGCATACTCATGGGCCCCAAAACATCCCTAATACAGGTACACACAAACTGATTTTATTTAAATGAAGCCACAGATTGAGTTACAACATTTTATTGACATTCTTGAGTTTAATTACATAAAAGTACATTTTGTTAATGCATTTTGGTTCTGACATGTTTAACTGTTCAACTATGTTTTAACTTTGAGTTAAATGCATCAAAGCCACCATGATACAAGATGTATGAAAAACACTAGTATTTTGATCAGTTTATCAAATATTTAAAAAGATATTTTAGATAATGAAGCGTGAACCTGCCTGAACTCTTATTCAGAGTTTTGCACATCTCTTTTTCGTATACAGCTATCACATGTGAGCTAGAAATGAACTGCAGCCACTACAAAGTCCTCTTAGGCACTGATAAACAAACATGTCTATAGTCATATTATGCTAATACAAGGCATTACATGAATCATTCAAGAGGATACATTATACATTGCTGTGTGTCTTTATTATGAAATCAATATATTTAAATGTACAAGGCATGTTAAAGAAACAGTTTTTCGTCTTTTGATGCTCAGTACAGCAAGGTGCCCTACATAGGTGCATCATTAAATAATACTTAAGGTGCACATACAAATAATCCATCTCAAAACATTTAACTTTCAGTTCACTAAAACTACATTTATTTGTCTAATTTTGGATCATCCTATGATGTGAGAGCTTTTCATTGGTGAGCCAAGACTTTTGATACCTGCCGTAGGATTTTACAAAATAAAAGTTGCTTGACTACTTTTCTTAAATCAAGAAAAAAACGTACATATAAAATAAAAAAAGTTAAAAAATAAAATGTTTCCTGGTTTTTAATCCTCCTCAACTTGAGCATTAAAGGTGTTTTGATATTGATTGATTGTACGTCTATGGAATTCTGGGTAATGTAGTTTGATTAATCAGCTGACTTAACTAGAGGCAGAAAGTAGGAACCTAACCTTAAACCACCAACAATCTTTGATAAAAATCCAAAAACCTTCATTAAACCTCCACTAACTTCTATGCCGGGATCAGACTACACTATATCTTTGTATTTACTAATGGTCATGAACTATTAGCATTATGAACCAGTAGGCTGATCAAATTCGATCTGAGCTGGCTCCAGGGAAAATCGGACAAAAACTCTAGGGGTATATAATTAGACACCAAAATA